TTTTGGAAACCCATGCAATTTAACAATGTCATTAATGAATCTTTCAGCAACTTCTTTTGCTGTAAATGGGTGGGTCAAAGCCAAGAAGTGGGCATATTTTGTCAACCTATCAACAACAACAAGTATGACGTCATGTCTTTTGGATTTTGGAAGTCCTGTAATGAAATCCATGCTAATATCTTCCCAAATTTGTTGAGGAATCGGCAAGGGTTGTAACAGCCCAGCTGGAGTTAATGCTTGATATTTGTTCTTTTGGCACACGTCGCACTGTGACACATATTGTTGGATATCTTTTTTCATGCCTTCCCAATATACAACAGTAGAAAGCCTCTTGTAAGTGCGCAAATAACCCGAATGGCCTCCGGTTGGTGAATCATGAAATTCCTTCATGAGCAATTGAATTCTGGTAGACTTCTTTGGTAGCATCAATCGTCCTTTATAGTGTAGACAACCCTTCACAAGGCTGTATCCCTCCAAATTTCCTTGCTTGGTATGACTTTTTGCAGTATATCATTTAACTTAGGGTCAGCATGTACTTCTTTCTCCCATTCTTCAAGGTCACCTTGCTGCCATAAAGAAAAACCATGTATCTCCAGATTTTCTTCTTTCCTTAAAAGTGCATCCGCTGCATGATTTTCCTTGCCCGGTTTGTAAGCTATTTCAAACTTGAACCCCATTAATTTAGTGATCCAGTGCTGTTGACTTTCTTCTACAATTCTCTGTTCCAGCAGAAACTTCAAAGCTTTCTGATCTGTCCGGATGACAAATTTCTCCCCCCATAAGTAGTGTCGCCATTTCTTGACTGCCATAACAATTGCCATAAGTTCCCTCTCATAAATGGAACATTGTTGAGCGCGGTTAGAGAGCTTTTGGCTGAAATATGCCACTGGACGATCATTCTGCATCAGCACTGCTCCTATTCCAGACTCGGAAGCGTCTGTTTCCAACTCAAACGGGATGGAAAAATCAGGCATAGCTAGGCCTGGGAGAGAAGTCATCGCTGTCTTGAGACTTTAGAAGGCTTCTTTAGCTTTTGGGGTCCATTTAAAGGCATCTTTCTTAAGTAAATCGGTGAGAGGACTAGCGATTTTTCCATAATTCTTGACAAATCTTCTATAATACCCTGTCAACCCTAGGAACCCTCTTAAGGATTTCACATTCTTGGGTTTAGGCCACTGCACCATACTCTCAATTTTGCTGGGATCCGCTTGCACTCCCTCCTTGGAAATGATATGCCCAAGATATTCAATTTTTGGTTGGGCGAAAGTGCACTTCTTAAGGTTGATCACTAGCTGGTTCTCTTTCAGGATAGACAAAACAGCTTTCAAATGTTTCAAGTGAGATGTTAAATCATGGCTATAAATAAGTATGTCATCAAAAAATATAAGCACAAATTTCTGAAGATGCTCTCGGAATATCTCATTCATTAAAGATTGGAATGTGGAAGGAGCATTGGTTAAACCAAAGGGCATTACCTTGAATTCATAATGTCCCTCGTGGGTTCTAAATGCTGTTTTATGTTCATCTCCAGCCATGATTCTGATCTGATGGTATCCGGACTTCAAATCCAGCTTGGTGAAGATGGCGGCTCCTTTTAACTCATCCAACAACTCATCTATAGCCGATATGGGAAACTTGTCAGGCACCGTGATTTTGCTCAAGGCTCTATAGTCCACACAGAATCTCCAGCTTCCATCTTTTTTCTTAACCAACAAAACGGGACTTGAATAAGGACTTTGACTGGGCTGGATGATACCTGCTCTCAACATATCTTTCACCATCTTCTCAATTTCATTTTTTTGAACATGAGGGAACCGATATGGTCGTATGTTAGGAGGTTGTTCGCCTGGTTTGGTTGCTATTGCATGATCATGAGAACGAGTTGGTGGTAACCCTTCAAAAGGTCGACAAACTATAGAGAATTGGTCCAGGAGGTTCTGAATTTCAGGCGCCAATTGTATAGTTTCAGCAGTTGTTTCTTCATTATTCATCCCATTATATTCGATCATGTACCCCTCCCCTCTCTTCTGTACGGATCGAATGAATGACTTAAGGGAAACCAAGGCCTTGGTTAGAGCGGGATCACCTTGTAAACACACCTTGTTTCCTTTCTTAACAATCTTCATGGTCAGTTGCCCCCAGTTAACCTTCACTTCTCCTAAAGATTTTAACCATTCAACTCCTAGTACAGCATCCACGCCACTGAGTGGAAAGGGGTAGAAAGTTTGAATAATGTCCAGGCCTTGTACCTGTAACTTGAGGTCATTGCAGCGTTGCTTCCCTTTAATACTAAACCCATCCCCAACAGTGATAGAGTAGACGGCAATGTCCTCCACTGGAATTTTTATTTTGGTGACTAATTCCTCAGCTATGAAGTTGTGGGTAGCCCCACTATCAATCAAAATCACAATCTCGGCTTCCTCTAGTCTCCCACGTACCTTCATAGTGTGATTCCCTCCAAACCCAACTATGGAGTTTAGTGATAACTCCATTCAAGTTTCATCTTCTTCGGCTTCTTCACTATCTTCAGTGCATATTGGTTCATGGCCTTCGGTTCCCCTTCTTGGGCTCTAGCTCCAGCAACATCAGTTGCAGATTTTTATTTTTGCAGATGTGATTAGGTCCGAATTTATCTGCACATTTGAAACACAAACCAAGCTCTCACCGACGAGTTAATTCCACGTCTGACAGTCGCTAGGTTCGTCCCCCTGGACGCGACGACGTTGTTCCTGTCGTGTTGCTCGCTACTTTTGAGTCTGCCGTTTTTGTCTTAGCCCGTTTCTGGAGTCCCGAGTGTATTGAAGAGGTGTGCATGCTTTTACTGGGCTCAGCCACATGAGTGATCCGTGTGAAAGGAGTTTGGGCTGATTCATTTTTAAGCCCACTTTGAAAATGCTGGCCTTGCAGAAACCGTGAGTCTTTGGCCTTCTCTATTACCTGATTCCTCTCATCCACCCTAATAGACATCTCCATAATTTCTCTAAGGGTACTGGCGGCCGTGAGCTTTAATTCAGCCCTTATCTCTGGTTTTAGTCCTACACGAAATGCTCCAACCACACACGATTCTGATGCGTCTCCCACCATAACTGATACGCGTTCGAACTCCTCCACATACTCGCGCACAGAACGCTCCTGTTTGACTGCAAACATCATCTCATATTCATCCCCAAGCTGTGAGGGATGGAATCGACGCAGAAGTTCTTGCTTGAACTCTGACCATTCTCGGATAGGTGCTCGAGTTTCCACCCATTGATACCAGTTAAGAGCCTTACCTTCGAGGCACACGATGGCTGCTTCCAGTCTCTCCATTTCAGCCACAGCATTGATTCGAAAATACCTTTCCACTCTGAAAAGCCACCCGATAGGGTCTTCTCCATCAAATATTGGTAACTCCAGCTTCCTATACTTCCCTACTTCTTTTTCATGATCTCCGGTGCTTCCTGTAGTCTCTTCATGGCTGGGTTGATCTTGTTCAGGAGGTTGGTCTACACTTTTCTGTTTCTCTGCTATTTGCTCTAATTTATCTTGCATCGTCTGCATCATCTCCTTCATCATGATCATTTCTTTCGATAGTCCTCCAACAGATTCTTTCAACTCTTGTACCTCGGGATTGGAGTATTGCACTCTTTCGGCCATCTCTCTTTCGCTTATCAGAAGGTCCGAGGATTGCACGGCTCTGATGCCAATTGTTAGAGCTCTGCTCTAAAGTAACTAATAGAACCAAGCTTTCAATGCAAAGAGAAATAAATGAGGGAAATTCTGAGGTTTTTGATATTAATGCATATGAACCGAATCAGTGTTACAAGAGAAACTCACTGATTCTAGCCATAACCCTATTCCCAACTACTGAAATTACAAACTAAATGGAAGACCACAGCAACAAGAAAAAGTCTCTCACTGGTGTTCGAGAGACCAGCACTCTCCTCACTTCTGTCTAACTTCTCTAAAACATCCCTTGAGTGCCAACAAAAATAATACAGCCAAATAAAGCAAGCAAAAAGGTGACTTCAATATCGAGACTAAATCTAAGCCACCCTACCAAAACATCATGGCATAATCCTTCTTTTCTGGACCCTCAGGATATTAATCCTAACCCAATGGGTATTTCCTTTCTACACCCAACTGCCCCCTTGATCTCCTCTTATAAGTCTGACCACATCTCACGGTCACATCAATCCACCATTAAAGCTGTATAGTGATAACAAAGCCGCCATAAGCATGGTGTTGAAACTAGTGCAACATGAAAGATCAAAGCATGTAGAGGTGGACAGACACTTCATTAGAGAAAAGGTGGAAGAAGGCATCATGTGCTTAACATACATTTCCACAAAACTTCAAGCTGTAGATGTGTTGACTAAAGGACTACATGGACTTGTGTTTGAGAGTTGTGTGAGCGAGTTAGACATGATTAACATACCCAACTTGAGGGGGAGTATGGTTAAGCCGTATATCTCTCTTGTAATATTAATAATATTATGTTGCTATACTTGGGGAGAATATCTCAGGTAATTTGACTTTGTATTATTTTTTTCTTATTTTCTGATTCTCTCCCTATTTTCTTAGAATTTCCAGTTCCCACTATCAGTGTATGTATCCCTGTAAAGTTTCTGATGAAATATAGAATTATTTGATTGCTCAAAACTACAAGTACTTATAGGGTTTTATGTTATGCATTTTATAATTTGGTCTGTTGAATGGAAGATATTTTTTCTTATTATCAATTATTGTTGTAGAGAAATATTTAATGCTTTCAAGCAACTTAACGAGACCTCTTTAATCTCAGATAAATGAACCAAAAGCTGTGATATCGTGTTCTTGTTAAATTTTGTGCTATGAGTATTGACTCAAGTAAAAGGTGGTCTTCTAACTGGAATCCTATGTTGATAATTAATTCTTTTTCTGGTAACAGCAAGTTTGGATTTTGATTCTGTATTGTATTAGCTCTGCTTTTACTGGATAGTTGACATCAGATACCAATCATAGATATGACATCTTTGCAGGTTAAGGAGGAAGTTGAATCGGCTCTTAGGAGGCATTTAATAAGCATGAAACAGTAAGAAACATTACTCTGTCAATAATGAAATTTGCAGGGAAAAAGTACTCAAAATGGATCAGCACAAAGGAAAATTGGAAGCCCAATGATTTGAAAAAGTTCAGCTTGACTCCTGTATTCTTTTTACTTTCCATTTCAGGGCCTGTGAGAAGGAGATTCTTACTTCTGAATCAAGAAATTTGCAGCTGCGATTTGAGAGCAATATCTCTCCTCCCATTTTTACAGGAGCTCGAATTGAAGGGGAAGATGGCTCCAATTTAAGGATAAGTTTAGTTGATGTCCTGACTGGACAGGTTGTTAGTTCAGGACCTGAATCTGCAGCTAAGGTGGAAATTGTAGTACTTGAGGGTGATTTTGAAGACAGAAGTGATATTTGGACGCCTGAAGAGTTTAGGAGCAACATTGTAAAAGAGAGAGATGGAAAAAAGCCTCTTCTCACTGGAGATGTATTTTTGTATCTTAAAGATGGGATTGGTGTGGTGGGTGAAGTTTCATTTACAGATAATTCAAGCTGGACAAGGAGCAGGAAGTTCAGGCTAGGAGCTAGAGCTGTAAATAACTTTGATGGATTTAGTATTAAAGAAGCAAAGACAGACTCATTTATTGTCAGAGATCACCGAGGGGAATGTGAGTACTTCAATTTATTTTTGTTGTTCTTAGATGCATAAAGATATAATATTTTGCAAATGCTATCTCAGTTGACTTTGAGTGTATTTCATCTGGAACTCCGCAGACATCTGATAAGATGATGAAAAAGAAAATACGATGCATGAAAGAAATGTATTTGCTTGAGTGACCTCTTTGTTGTGTGTTCAATCTAGAATGAGCTTGATTGGATATTCCTCATTGTTCTTTTCCCATATGTGATTTCTTTTAGCTGCAAATGGTCAATCTTGGTTTAATTGTGTTTTTGTTTTTTTTTTTAAATATCTGAATTCAGAATTCCTTCCTTTACCATAATTGATACCATATAACAGGACTCATTTGAGCTTTTCAATTTTCTTGTCAAAGCAAGGGAGGAATTGTAAATTATTTGTGATTATATTTGGCTGCAGTGTACAAGAAACACCACCCTCCTAGTCTGTCTGATGAAGTCTGGAGATTAGAAAAGATTGGCAAGGATGGAGCTTTCCACAAGCGTTTGAGTCAGGAAAAGATCGATACTGTGAAAGATTTTCTCACACAGCTCAACTTAGACTCAGCAAAGCTTCGCAGTGTAAAAATAAATCAACTACTACCTTATTGTGTGTGTTTGTGTGTTTTTGCAATCACTAGCTATTAATTAATCCTGAGCATATAGAGTTTTACATTATTAGCAACAACAATTCTTATCCCACTAAGTGGGGTCAGTTACATGGATTACATGATATCATTGTGTTCTATCATCAACTAAGCTTTTAGGAATATTATTAACCAAAAGGTCTCGTTTATCAACTTTCATAAGTGTTCTCTTTAGTTTTCCTTTGTCCTTCTTTATAGGGCTCAAGATTATCCGTTTCACTCTTGTCAATAGTGCCTCCTATGGCCTTCTTTGTATATGTTCAAATTATCTCAAACGATTTTCTACCATTTTCTCCTCATTAAGATGCAACACCCTCTTTTTCTCATATTTGCTCATTTTAGTCTTCCTGTACTCCTTTTTACAAGGCTCTAGATTATCCATTTCACTCTCCTCACTAGTGCCTCTCACGGCCTTCTCTATATATGTTCAAACTATCTCAAATGATTTTTTACCATTTTTTCCTCAATAAATGCCACGCCTACTTTTTTCCATATATGTTCGTTTTGGATTTTATCTTTTCATATATATCTGCACATTCATCTCAACATTTTCATCTTTACTACTCCAATTTTATGCTCTTGCTATCCCTTTATATTGTCACATACTTCAAATCCTTCTGTGAGATTAAAGGAGCTTAGAAAAAAGATTTTGTCTTACAGTTTAGTTGTCCACTGGTTGGATCACTTAGCTTAAAATTATCTTCTCAACTTCTCCATTGTGAAGTACAACTCCCCAGTAAGATATATATAATGTATATTCTTGATTACCCTCATGTTTAAATTATCTTAAAACTGATCTATAATGCGACTTATCCTTGACATACTTGTTTATGGCATGACTGAATTCTTTTATAGCAATGTTACAGAAAATTTAACTAGTGCATTTTTTTTAAAAAAAATTATATCAGACATTCAGTACACAGTTATAAAGTTCTGATTGAAAAGCACTTGTTTAAATGAAATATTGGGAAAATATAACTTTTGTTTTTTGAGCAAAGGGAAAATATAACTTTTAGTTATTATACTTTTGACATGTTTGGGTATTAGCCCCTATATGTTTTTTTGCTGCTCCTAGTCCTTTTAAGTTTCATGTGTAAGTTGGTCTTTATCTTCACTGATGGATTTAAATCTGTTGATGTGTGCATTGATTGCTCTATTATTTCTGTTGTTGAGTTGGTAAATTATGATAAATTAGATATTGTATGGGCAAAATGGCTGCTAATCCTTTTGCCTTTTTGCCCTAGCTATTGCGTCTTCTTCCTTCCATTGTTTTGCGCGTCACGCATTTAAGGATTTTGATTCAATGTTGTGCTTTCCCCCCCTTCTATTCATTTTTTCTTTTACAACTCATCATGGTTTTAACAAGTCAGCATGATAAGTAATGGAGTTTATGTTCACTTTGGCCACCATTAAGTCCTCATGTTCATATTTAAAAATATAGGAACTAACATTGCAAACAGGTAGAATTTAAGGGACTAGGAGCAACGGAAAAAGTATTGGGACTAATACCAAAATATGCTAAAAGTATAGGCACCAACAATTGTATTTTTCCAAAAATATTTATTTATCTTTGCCAAATGAAAAAAAAAAAGAAGTTTTCTTTGGCATGTGCAGATCTTGGGTACAGGTATGTCCACGAAAATGTGGGAAGCAACAGTGGAGCACGCTCAAACATGTGTGCTTGATACGCGGAGGTTTCTGTACTTCCCTTCTCATTCCCAACCAAAATCTGGTGTTGTCTTCAATGCTGTTGGACAAGTGACGGGACTGCTCTCTGAAAGTCAGTTTGTCCCTGTTGATAAGCTGTCTGAAACTGAAAAGGCACTCTTCTCTAATCTACCTTTTTCTTGGTCTCCTGCCCTATTCCTTTCCCCATTTTTAATAATTCTTACTAAACCTAGTGTATATTATCAGGCCGATGCTCAAAGCTCAGTACTTTATGCAATTCAACAAAGGGAGAAATTTGACTCTTTCAATGATGGAGCCTCTCTGATGGAGGACAACTTACTTTTCCCGTCATGCTCACCCAATTCAGATGGATATAGTGCCAGCAAGATTTTGTCTCCTCAAAAGACTGATCGATTTGATTACTTCCAGGGGAGTGCCCCCTCTCCGGATATATTGTCATCCGTGTACTCTGTTGGAGCTAGTGACTTGGATGAATATTGCTTGCCCATCAGTGACGGCATGAATTTCAGATATGACCAAACACTAGGTTTTCCAGTCCAAACTTCTAATTCTTTCATTGGTGAAACAGATACTGTGTCTCATGTTTTCGATGATCATGCCCATCTTCATTTCCTTGATGCTGATATTCAGTCTCCAATCCATAAGCCGGATAAGAGTGCTGTTGATGGCAAAGCACAAAAGAGATGGAGAATGCTATTCAATGTCGTAAAATGGCTCCTGTTGAGGAAAAAGAAGACATGATTTAGAAGCTGAACGTTACAGGAATGGGTTTGTGTTCTAACAAGAACTACTGGCTATGTTTATGATTGCTGCCTTAAAAAAAAAAAAAAAGATGTAAATTGTTGAGAAAATATTATGGTTTCTCTCGCAGATGTAAATACACATTCGATGACCTTGGCTCTCATATAAATATATATATATATATATGTACACATCTTGCAAGAGGTCATTGAACTTCTGTCCTTTTATTGTCTCAAGTCAAGTTGTAAATACTTAGTATTATACAGTGAGGAGGTGGTTTCTTGTTGGTGAAGAGATACTTAGACTAGTGGAAGTGATCTTGGTGATTCAGTGGCTTTTATGCTGGATCATAATTTTTGTAAGCAAGCTTCGGCCAATAAAATCATTCACTCTGGACAACGCACATCGCGGCTCAAGTTTTCATGGGACAAGATATCTCTCAGGTCTGTTCTGAATATGCACAAAGGTTCTCTTCATTTTTTTTCTAGAAGAGTGCACGATATGAAGTTCAGGAAACAGGATTATGAGATTATTTGCGTATCGTACTGTGTATGGAATCTATTCAAATTTCTTGCAATAGTAAATTGTTTGTGTTGATCTTTTGTTGAATGCTTCGATGCATGAATAATACAGAAAATTTAACTTTTCTTGCCTCTTAGTATGAAGGGAGAAAGAATAGAGGAAAAGGTAGACGAGAGAAGAAAAAGGGCAGAGCCATTTTATTTTCTTGGTGAAAAAACACAGCCATTTTTTTCTTATTCATGATAACATGTGCATATCAAATCCCTACTTTTGGTACCTGCATCAGTAGTTAAAACTTAAAAGAGAAATTAAAAAAAAAAAACTTAAAAGAGAAATTTAAAAAAAAAAACTTAAAAGAGAAATAACAATTAATCAAGAAGATGCAAAAATGACTCCGGATGACTTGAAATACAAAACTGATTCTTGCAGAGTTAGATAAATTAAACACTCACGAAAAATAAAAGGAAAAAAAAAATACAAGCCTGGTAGTGACAACTGAAAACCTGATTACTTTCTACTAATCAATTAGCATCTTCCACTGATCTAGTGCCTCGTTGCAATTGGCTTTTACGAATCCTGATTCTCCTGCTTCTTCTCACTCAATTCAAAAGAATTTAAAAAGGAAATAGAAAATATATTCTATTGCAGCACAACTGAACTCCACAATAGTATTCATGAACACCACCACCTTCACCTCCTTATGCATCAATGGCGGCTCAACAACTAAAATTTTTTGATTTTTTTTTTTAAAAGATTAGTGAGACAAATGCCGGAACACAGCATACATATTCTTTCGATTCCGGGTAATATATGAATATATTTATTTTTCTAGAATATTAATGCTTCGTTAACCCGTTCAATAAATATAGAACAAAAATAAATTTAATTTTTTTATAGTCATATATTAAAAAAATAATAAAAAGATATTAGATGATAATTATAAAAGCATAATTCACAGTGGAAACAAAGAGAAACGAAAAGGATTCGTGAACCTATGCCCAATGGGCTTTCTTGTCTTAAAATTCCTGGTCAAAACAGGGAAAAATCCCCTCAATTTTCTTTGCTTGACTAATCAAACTACAAAAGAGAATATGACCACGTATGTCAGGAAGCATAGAAATGCCACGAACCTTCCTAACACCGCCGAAAGCCTGAAAGGATAATTTTTCTGGGGCTAATGTTTACTCCAAACTCAAGTCTCGCTATTTGCTGAAAAGAAAATTTTTTCTAAGATCAATGTTGACTCCAGCTCGATGGAGGCTATCAATCTCATTAAGAGTGAATATTCTTATAATCACTAGCTCCTCAACATCATCACAAGGATAAAACATCTCATTATAAAAGATTGGATCATTATTTTAGAGATTTAAGGTACAAATTCACCCACAAAAACTTTTACAATGAGCTGCTAACATCCTTAACTTAAAAAGTATGGTGCAATTTTATTCATAAACTCCAAAAAAATATACAAAAAATCTATAATTCATAATAGAGGCTAAATGTCCATTAAATAAGAATTGCAAGTCCTACTACATGCAAATAAATTGGGAGCAAAGATATTCATCATTTACTGGACAACCTTAAAAAGGGTGCAAAAAATCCCCAACCCTAAACATGGTTCTTAAGTGCATAACAAGTAACAAACGATCTCTAATGCCTCATATCTAATGATCTCACCTATTTTTTTCTTAACTTATATGATTTTGTCGTGGCTTTAAAATAAATAAAAAAATACATATAAATTTCACTCAAAATAAATAATTATTTGCAAATTTATTTAGTATTAACAACTAAATTTAGGAGAATAATGACTATTTTAAGTGAGACCTTAAATTCTCTCAACCATCAAAATTTTTCCACTTTTTGTATAAATAAAAGCAAAATCATCTCATGCCAAAATGTGACAGAAGTGAAAGAGTGATGATGAGAAGATGAGCATCCCAAAAGGCCATGTCCTTGTTCTTCCCTACCCAGCTCAAGGGCACATCAACCCACTCGTTCAATTCGCGAAACGACTCGTCGCAAAAGGTCTGAAAGCCACTTTTGCCACCACCCCTTACACAATTAAGCACATAAACGCACCCACTATTTCCATTGAACCCCTCTCAGATGGCTACGATGAAAGTGGCTTCAGGCAAGCTCCAAGCGTGGAAGCCTACTTAGAGTCCTATAAATTAGTTGGATCCAAAGCTTTAACTAAGCTTATATCGAAGTTCAGAGACTCTTCTTTTCCTGTTCGTTGTATCGTTTACGATTCTCTGCTTCCTTGGGCGCTTGATGTGGCCAAGCAGTTTGGGATCTATGGAGCTGTGTTCTTGACCAATTCAGCTTCTGTGTGTTCACTGTATTGGCGAATCAGAGAGGGTCGGCTCAGCTTGCCTTTGAACGATGAAGCGTTTCCAATCTCGCTGCCTGGCCTTCCTCCTCTTGAATTCTCTGATTTGCCAAGTTTTATTGCGCGACCTGCTGATCATTCTGCTTATTTTGCCGCGATCATGGACAAGTTTGAGGCTTTGGAGCTCAATGACTGGGTATTCTGCAACACCTTCCAAGAGCTGGAAAATGAGGTAAATTTAAGGCCTCATTAGTAATATTTCTCTTTTCTGGTAAACTGACAGGTAAAGCCCTGTATTATTTCTTCAGCAAAATCTCTCTTAGGTATGAAACACCCAATCGGTCACTGTACAGTAAATTCTGTAAATCACTAGGAGGCGAAGCAAAAAAAAAAAAAAAAGCCTCAAAACCAAAATTAAAACTATGATTTGCTAGCCAATTAGCACACTGATTGCCTTCTCTGTAAACGTGAAGGAAATTAACTTGCCAGTCACCCTGCATCTCCTTCTGAATCAAAGATAAAAGAGCTCTGCAAGACTCACCTTCTTCCCTCGTATCTTCCAGCATACTGACCACCGAAGTGGAGTCATCTTCTACCAGAAGATTATTCACACCCATCCGCTTAGCCATCCTTAACCCCCATGAAACACCCCATAATTCAGCATTTATGGCAGAACATCTTTTCACAAAGCCAATCCATCTACCATGCTCATCTCTCAATAACCTACGCACCCTGACAAGGCAGAACCCCCTTTAGCTGCACCATCAAAGTTCAATTTGCACCAGCCCGGAGGGGAGGCTGCCATTTGATATGAACCACCATACTGGCCAGGTTCGACATATCATCACTATTGTTCAAATTAACCATCTCCCACACATAACGTTTAATAATGCTAACAGGGTCATTGGGAAATTCAAAACCTTCCTCAAAAAGAACCTTATTCCTCCATGTCCGTTGCCACCAGCAAGTCCCTACCATTCAATCTAAACCAGTCCCTACCATTCATCTGAAAGAAACTATTCCCAACCTCCTCACGATTAAGCAAAAGCCAGACATTTCTAGCAGCTGTGCACTCACGAATAGCATGTTCTAATGATTTATCTTCTAACCCACACCTGCAACACAGAGGAGAACACCCCAACAACTTAGCTCTCCTAGAAGAAGTCAACAGACGATCATGGTTAGCAAGCCAGAGAAATACCTGGATCCTTCTTGGTCCCCTCCAATTCCAAATTTTCTTCCAAATAGTATTAGCAGCAACATTAGCAGATTGAGTCATGTGGGTAAACATATCAGCAACACTATACTTGTTGTGTGAGGAACCTCTCCATCTAATACAGTCAGCACCAAGCTCCCTCAATAGGCACGGCACAGTCCTCAATTGTAATAATATAGCCTCTGGTAAATGATCCTTGAGATACATGAATTCCCACTCCCCACATTCATATACCATGTCACATACCTTACAATCTTGCAATCTACCATCGGGCTTACTATAACATAAATCATGCGGTGTATTATCAGCACTACTCCACTAATCTTGCCAAAATTTTATGCCTTCCCATCTCTGCACCTAATTAGTAATATTGTTCTTTCATTTTGTTTGTGTCTGCTGTTGTGAGCCATGAGAGACATCAGGAGGGGGGGTTATACTCTCAATAATAAATTATTGAGAGTATTTTTAAAAATGTTTTTATCGTAAAAAAGAAATTTACATTTTAGTTATAGAGAACACAATTACATTTTTAATGAAATATTAATATTAATTTATTTTTGTAATTTCTTAAAAAAGAAATTTAGTTTTTGGATCTTTGACTATTAATTTTATAAGCTTCGTATTTTTTAGCGTACTATATTCTATCTATCAATGTTTTTTTTTAAAAAAAAGAACTTTTTTAATAATTTTTTTCTTGGTTCAAAATCTTTAATAGCTGGAGACGGCTATTCATGTGATTAATTTGCTTTTTGTCCAAAATGATTTTTTGGACAAGCTAAATGATTTTTTTTTAAGTACTTTCTGTTTTTATATATGAGAGAAAAAAATTGTATCATACAGTTTAAGAAAAACAGTTAAATATAATATTTATGTATGAAAATAAAAAAGTAAGCTAAAATTCCTTATATTAATCAACATAAGCATATATTAATTGTTTTTCATTAATGTAAATTATAATAGGTGATTTAAAAATATGTAATAAATGCTTATTGAAATAAGTAATTTTGCTTATAAAAAAATAGAAGTTAAAAGTGATATTTCTCTAATAATAAAAAACAGAGGGAGTGTGTGGTTGGTTAGAGTGGTGTCTATGCATTTGCATAAATCCCAAAATTGAGTCCCACTAGAATTTGTAAATAATACAATTTTCTATATTTTTTATATATTGACGATTCATTCACATCCTTGACTATATGTGCAATCGTATATTCAAAGGACTGTTACTCAAGTGATTGAGACTATACATGGGCCTTAATTTTTCTTCCATATATCTTAAACTGCAATATTTTTGTGAAGCAAATACTGATTAGTCCATAAATTAATTGTATATTACTGCGATCAGTTGAAAGTCCCTAAATTATTTGAAACAGATACAAATATGCACGGTATGAAGCCAAATATTTCTTGCCACACATGATTAAGAAAAATCCGGGGCTTGTAAAACAAGTTTTAAACGTTAATTTAGCTCTCATTCACAAGTGACGTGTCTGTATTGTTGTTGATAGCTAGTGAAGTCATTGGAAGGCCAATGGCCACTTGTAACGGTGGGGCCAATGATTCCATCGGCCTACGTTGGCCAACCATCAGACGGCGACACTGCTTACGGTGCCAGTTTCTGGGAACCAAGCAGCCATACCTATTTGAAGTGGCTGCACACAAAACCACCAAAATCAGTAGTATTTGTGTCATTTGGAAGCATGGGAACTACCTCAGCCAAACAAGCCCAAGCAATTGCCACGGGTTTGAAGGCAAGCAAGAAGCAGTTCTTATGGGTTCTCAAAGAGTCTGACGACAAATTGCCACAAGATCTTCTAAACGACGAGGGATTGGTGGTGACTTGGTGCAACCAAGTGGAAGTGTTGGCTCACCCAGCTGTGGGTTGCTTTGTAACTCATTGTGGATGGAACTCTGTGTTAGAAGCGCTGAGCATAGGAGTGCCAATTGTGGGGGTGGCTCATTGGAGTGATCAGCCTACAAATGCTAAGCTAGTGGAAGAGTTGTGGGGAGTGGGTTTAAGAGCAAAGAAGGATTTGGATGGCGTTTTAAGAGGGGAAGTGCTGGATCAGTGCATAAGAGAGGTTATGGATGGTGGAAAAAGTGAAGATATTAGAAGGAACGCTTCTAAGTGGAGTGAAAGTGCAGCCAGAGCTGCTGCTCCAGGTGGGAGTTCAGACAATAACATCAGCAAGTTTATAAGAATCTTAAGGGAATGAGGGGAACTATATTTTATATCTGTCAGTATATCAAATAGATCTATATATAGACGAGCACACAGGAGTGCATCTTTCTGTTTGTTTATGTTTGCACATGCCAATGGAACTCTTTACTTACCCTCTTTTATCTCAGTTGTAGCAAGTACTAATGTGTGTCGGTAATTCAGAAGGTGCTGGTGTTGTGTTACTTTAATCAGATAAGATATTAAAGAAACTTCTTAAATTTTATGAAAATTATAGGAAGTAAAAGAAGGGCACACAGAAGCAGTAAATGAGCAGGGATATAGACTCACAACATGGATAGGGAAACTTTCTGTGTATATGTATTTACGTGCAAAAGGAACTTTTCTGCATAACCTTCCTTGGTGATTCACTGCCCCAAGTTATATTTATACACATTCCCAGTTCAGCTCATCGCATCAAAATTTGTATAAAAGAGTTTTCTGATAGATACACTGAAACAGACATGAATCCCTGTGAAATGTATCTATGCTGGCTTGTTTTTCAAACCAAGCTCACATAAATCCAAACTTTAGAAGTTGTGAATAAAATAGTCAACACAATTAGCCATCATGGAAGTTCACATCTTGCAAGCATTGCTGTCTTTGCATGCTTCACCCTGTAAAGAACACGAAAAACCAAGTACATACTAGCGCCAAACAAATCTCAAATCAGGCATGTCAAAGTGAGAAAAATGTGTTCTTTCCACCAAAACAAAAAAAGTGAGAAACGTATGTTCTGAAAAGGCTAATTAACACTTGAATGGAATCAGATTATCTGAGAAGTCTTAACAGCATGCACATCGGCTTGTGACATATTTTAGCAGTCTTTATTCAGTCCTGCGTTTTAAACTAACAAATGGTCTTTAAAATTTTAATCAAAACATTGCAAGCAGTTTCACTCTTTCCAACTAAAAAAACGTTTATTCTTAGCTGCTCCATGAATGTAGAATTTTAGTCTCAAGATGACTCCAGAATTTCAGAAGATTTTCTAACATCATTTTTTTTATTTATTTAATTTCTTTCCTCTACTTTTGTCCTGTTTTATCCAGCACGTTTATTCTACAATAACAAATATATTAACTTATAAAGTTGCTGTGTACCTACCTTCTTTCTTCGAGTTCTTAATATTTCTTCCATAGGTGGTCGCCCTGAAATTAAAACAAAAGAAAGATATGAATATATCAATTTGAAAATCTCAGCATCAATATATTGGTGAGCATCACAGTAGAGGCCAGTCTTGATCCCTAGTCGTGGCCCCATGGGAACTACTACTAGAAAAATCATGAAGTGAAAAATGCAGCAAAATTGCATAATTAATGCGTGCGAACACTGGATGGATATATGTTGATCATGTGTGAGAAGACAGCGTTTCACCACAATCTGGGTTTATAGACTTTATGCTTCTTTAATATCACTACATCAGGCTAATGCGGCTCAACTAAAGCAAAAAAGCTTTTACTCTTGGCAAGAGAACTATTACAGCATAACTATCAGAAAACTTTGGTAGAATTGTTCACGCAATATGTTCTTTGCTGTTACCTGTAATTTGAAGACGGTATTTAGCCCACACACCATATATTGCATCAGCAACTGTAGCAATCTGTAAAAGGAATTTTCCAACATTAGTGACATGATATAGAAGTAAAGAAACCATGTTCACAGCTGTAAAGCAAGACTGAGGGTGTCTCAAAAGCTGAAAAGTGAGACAAATCATTTCAAAAGGATGGTAGGATGACTTACTGGTTCATATTTTGTAACGGCATAAACCCAACCAAGACCAACTTGTTCATATAATCTCCTAAATGCCTGCAATATATCTCACTGGCATGATATTCATGCGCATATAAACACACATTTAATTTTAATAATTATAAAAGGAAAAAAAGGGAAGTATAGAACTTTAAGTAAGATCTGAATACAAATATTCCTCCCAAGATTCATATATTATGTTAAAGTCCTTAACAGCAACTCTTTTTGGGCATGTCAATGTCAAATTTTATATGATGATGTGTAGGAGGTACTGTGGTTTAAACTGAATAAGAGAGAAGTATGCCTATGAATGATGCTTTAATCTGGGAAGTTTTAACAGTCCATAAAGATTTTCTGAGATCAACTTCAGCTTGTACAACTACTTTAAAGCACTCGTATTTAGATCATTAAATTCTGGAGTGAGGTTACTTATAGATGTCACAGAAGTGCAAGAATAATCCCATGTTTGAAACTAAGGATGATCAGGAAAGAAGACATACTTCAACATCTGTGACTACAGTTCCATCTGAGAGAATAGCATGAATTCTGCCCATAACCTAAAAGAGAAATAACTACATTGTCATAGTATCTCTCCAGATCAAAGAAATGCCTGCAATCTTGCTTACTAAATATTCAACGCGCATTGCAAGTGAGAACAATTTCTCACAAGGTAAACATCTTCGAATAACCACGTCATATAAATTCTGTGAAAGAAAAGGAGAAAGATCTAGCAGACTTCATTTTGAGAAAACGGGGAGCTACATGGAGTTTCTAGATCACCATATATAAAATCGAATAGTAGTTGTCATTACCCTCTAAATGAACTGTAAACGTTCGCCCAAAAAAAAGAGAGAAAAATAACTGCAGAACAAAACTTAATGTTTTACACCATTCTCATTGAAGATACAAGCGGTTATACTTGCAAGAAAATTTGCCTTCAACAGGGGAAACACGTGGTAGAAACTCACAGTTTCGTAGTCCAGGCCTTGATTCTCCTGCGGAGAGTAGTCATCTGAGCTTATATCGACAAATTTGATTGTTCGATAGGTCTTATTCCTCTCTCTTAGCATATTGACCTGAAACAGTTGACAAACTACAATTCAGGCTAGAACTATATTTTCATTGGAGAATCCACAGCAAAAATATTTAAAAGGTTTCGTTTTTATCCAGAACTAAACACCCAAAACGCTCATGTCCACATTATATATGCCTAAGCAAAAGCATTGCACGAGGCACAAGTTATAGAAAGCACGCCTCGCGCATGCAAAGCGGACAATCTCCATCATAAAGCATTTTAATCTTCCAGTCTTCGGGTGATTGTTCTTCGCTTTCTCTCTTGGAGACTTCGATCTCTGCAGCTGCTTGACTAATTGCCCGAATTTGACATTGAAATCCTGGACGATGAAAAGAATGATCAGGACCTGAGTTCAACTTGACATAAGGAAGTAATCTCAGAGAACCGCCATTATATTCATATTCATAAATCCAGACAAAAAATTGCTCAAAAGTTAAAAAGATAACATAGCGACAGGGGATTAGGGATTCACCGGGTCGATAAATAGGAATGGCGAGAAGGGAATTGGCGTGATACGTAGGAGGATTATGGGCTTTGAGTTTAAAATAGCGAGGAATGGAGAGGAAAATTGGGGTTCTTCGTCGTGCAATGAATGATGAGGAGGCAGAAGCCATGGAAGCAGCAGCAGCTCCTCTCAAAGCCATTTCTGTTGCTGAGATTTGCGGTTGAAGAGAAAAATGTGAGTGTCATGGACACCTTAAATTCATAACTGTATTCAGCTCTACGTACGTGGCACTGTAATCTTCACCGAAACTCATATCGATTGCTGCGTTGGTTTTCGGAGCCAACTTGACAGTCATGTTTGAGAAAATTGTGAACTTGAGCCTGACACGAGCCAAAGACTCAGCCGGAGTTATATATTTGATTTTGTTTTATTTAATTTAATGGTAAGATGCTCTATATTGTAACTTAATATTGACGATGCATCAAAATCTTAAAATTAGGGTTATGGTTGTAAACCTATTATGTCATTTATTTCGTGAGATGAAATAATACAAAAAAGTTATCTCATTCTCTTGTTTTTACTATCTCTTTGTCATACATTTTAAAATTTTTTTTATATTTTTTTTATTATTTTCAATCTTTATATTCATCAAAAACATTAAAATTATAGTGATCTGAAAAATAAATATACCCAATTTTATTAAAATTATAAAATCAAAAATATTAAAAAAATTATGAAAATTAAAAATAAAATTTAATAAAATTTTTACTCTCAATTTAAATAATTTATAATAAAATTAAAAAATTATAATATGGAATACACTAATAATAAAAAAATGATATGATGATAAAAAAAATTTTAAAATTAAAAAATAAAATTAATTTATAATTAAATTTTAGAATATTTGTCACATTTTATGTATAGTTTATAAATAAAAATAATTTTTAATTTAAAAAAATATAAAATCTCTTCTCTCTCTCACAATCTCTCTGAAAAAAAGTTAAACTTCATAAAATTTACCTATTTTAACCTTGAAAAAGCATAATTAATTGTAATCGGGTCCAATTTTATATTGAAAAAAAAATACAGTTTGTAAATAAGAAAGGATTCATCCCTGTCCTTGGAGCTTCGCGTGGGTTGCCAGGGTTCTGTGCTCCGTTTGTATTATTCACTTGACTAAAGGTCACAGCAAAAAGCCCAAATGGCGTTCATGTTGAATAACACAAGCATTGCTTCCCATTTCCGATCTCACTCCCAGGTATTTTGATATCTTCTCTGTCTGATCGGTTGCGATTGTCTCAATCATCACTATAATAATTTTTGCTGTGTCAAATTTGATTCGTCATGTGGCCTTTTGAACTCTATCTGCAACGAAATCTCAAAAATAGCAGAAGAGGGAGGATTTGCTTTCTATCGCGCGCCGTGAATTCCACATCGAACCCGGGCCTCGTGAAAAAGCTGTAAGGCGTAGACTTCCCTTTTGCCTCTTCTATTCGGATTTCTTACTCGTTGCCTCTTGATAACTTATCTTCGTGTGCTTGTTTATGAGCTTTATTAAATGGTTGCTGGGTGTTTAACACCCAATTAATTTAGCAGCTGATCGATGAAAATGGGTTTTACGAATCATGTCAACGTAGTGTAGTAATTAATTTTTTTGGGGATCTCTCTTTGAGCAAGTCTCTCAAATGAGTTTTTTACTTGATTTGTTGAATGGCTTATAATTACTATTCGTTGTAAAGCCGAATGATTCTTAGGAGGCAAAGTTATATAAACTTTGCTACTCCTTACAATTTAGAGAATAAATAATCATTGATTTTCCATTGCATGAACTTTTGTTGTAGAACCTCAGCGAAGTTGCATAATTTTCCTGAGCAAAGTAGTTGATCTTATATACCCTTGAATATACTTTGACAAGTTCTGTTCTTGGCATGATTGGGTCACTTTGTTAGCATAATTTTTGTGATTTCTTCAGATTTACCGGTGCACTCAATTTTATAACATTGATAATCTTGCAGCTCTTGGCAGAGGATCCATCCCTGAAGCCATTCAAATCATATAAGAAGAGCGTGTCACGAATCAAGAGAATTGGGGATGTTCTGACAGTCATTGTTGTTGCAGGTATGCTGTTTTCTATTCCTAATTCTTGGGAGGGCGGAGCATGTGCTGATTTTTGTTAAACTTTGATGGGGTTATTAGTTCTCATCATCTATAAATGGCTACAATATGAATAAACCAATATCATGCATGGACTGATAAGGGATAAAAGAAATAGGCATTCTTTACTTTTCTGATATCTTCGACAAGTGGATATTTCCTGAATATGCCATTCTAAGAGAGTAATGCTCTCTGGATTCTCAGGGCACGTTAGAGATTTATAATGTACCATTTTCAGAAGGCTAATCTTTGATTGAGTTAATAGGTTATGATTGCATAGTGCGCGTGTGTATTTGTTTTCCTACATTCATTATTTCCTCAAATATAAATTTGTAGTATCTTTAGCATTGGGCAATGTGCTTACTGGGGTAATTCCAGTTTGCTGCTGAAACTTACAAGCTGGAGCTCCTTTTAGTAGGAAGTTTTGTTTTATAATTCATAAATATAAAATTCCAACAATGTTTTTGACATCCAGACTGTTTCAAATGTTTGTTAGTGGTTTGAAAAGCTTTGTCCTATTGCTGAAATCTTTTGAGTTCTCGTTTTCTGTATATTCATGAACACTGTCACTGAAATTGATAATAAATAGCATATTAACAAATTTGACATCAATAACAACAAATGGAAAACACTCGATCTGATGACTGATTTGCACCTCCTATTTCACTTCAAGCCTTCAATGATTGGCCATTCAGGAACGATCATAAAGAACATGAAACTAGGATTCTATGCATAAAAAATCAATTTGGCTATAAGAAATGCAACTGGATTCCATCCAGCCATAGGTTCCCCCACTAAACAATCTTGTTAGTCAATGAGACCACCAATTAGCCTTATGTCACAAGTGTGACACATATCAACATCAAGCAAGGATTTGCTTTGCCTTGCAAGCTCCTATTGGAAATGCCTTTGCGAGGTGCGCGTGGTCCATACCATTAGCTATTAAGTGGACTTGTTAATGTTATTGCTACCCTCCGTCACTGGCCTCAAATGGCATTTATCTCTAGCCCAGCAGAGAAAAGATGAAAGAAGAGTCAAGGTAATGCTAAGGCAACAAAGTCATGAGGCGGTTTAGCTGAGATTTTTCACAATTTCACTAGTGTGTGATGTGGCCTTTTCGAAAGATTGATTTAACACCATTCTATTCCCTCCCTACCCCATGGTATAAATTGTTTGATTGTGCAATAACTCTAATATGTTCATCAAGCTTTGAGGGGGAGGCTATGCATTTAGATTGGATACGAATAGACATAACCATTATCTTGTTCCAAAAATTCATTCCTTAACTTCTAATGTATCTGAATATTTGTGCTTTTTATAATGTTACTGCAGGATGCTGTTATGAGATATATGTCAGAGCAGTAATGAGAGAAGAAGCTCGGAAGCAGGCAAGGGATCATAGTGCGTAATGAAGCGAATAATGTGTTGTTACATTGTTACATTTGTCTCATATTTCTGGCAACAATGTGGACTCGCGGTGTGTTAGAATAAGCAGGAAAGCATTTGAATCCAAAATGCTTGCGCCTCAATAGGTTTTCCACCATCTAAGAGTAAGGCTCGTTGGGTTGATTAAAGTTAGAGGCTTTAGACGGTTTCATGCCATTCTGGTTAGTTGCACCATCCAGTGTGAGGAAGCATTTGAGAGATGGAACTTGGAAGAATTGGTGACTATTCGTGGTGTTAGGCATTTCTTTAAAATGGAGGACAAGGATCTGTCTTATCAATCGTGGTGACATTGGCCTTCTTTCAAATTTTCATCTATTTATTGTCTTATTTAAAATCATCTTCATGAATAACTTTTTCTAGGTGAATTGATATGGTGGGAGGAAAATTTTAGTACTTGCAAATTTTTACTAAAATATTTTTTTAGATATATTTATTACCCAAAAAATCTATTTTAAATTAGTTATTAATTATTAATTTATGATAAGTTATTTCGTTGGTCATATTTATAAGTTATTTTTAACATGTTTCTCTAAAACTATGAAAAATGTTAAAATTATGTTTAGGAATTTAATAATTTTATAGTTATACCCTCGTCAAATATATATATAAAATATATATAATTGAATGATATTTTTTTAACAATTAATATAGGATAAATAAAAAAATTTACAAAAAAAAATTAATGAGATAATTTATGAATAAGGTAGAAATTTTTTTTCCAACTTTATAAATAAGACAAAAAGGAAACAGGTTGTTTTGAAAGTTCTCAATGGTGACCTACTTTTTTTTTTTTTTGTTTATATAAAAAGAAGCACTAATAGCCCACTAACTCGCCAACGTAGGCGAAGTCGGTTAGGTTTGAATGATTGAGCTGAATACATTAATTTTCTCAATTATTGCTTCCGCAACGATATTAAATTATGAATGTTCTGAATTGAATGACCAGCATGATAAAAAAATTTGGAAGCGCAAGACTTTAACACTCTTACCGATTCTTTTTCAAAAATAAAACAAAAAAGATTATAACCAATAACTCCAAGAAGAAAGATTAAAAAAAAAATCAATAAATGATCATTTAGTTGGTAAGGACTGACTCATAATTTAAGCTTAAGCTTACAAGGTCATGGGTATGTTGTTTTCGATACAGGAATATTGTTAACAAGCGATATGTAAATTTTTTTTTTTTTTTTGAGTTTGGAAACATGTTCTCCCTCACCAGGATCAATGGATAAACTTACCTAAACTTTTACGAATGGAGGGAAAAAAAAAAAGGATATGCCGTGATTATGGGGCTTCAATATAGCACTGGACGGTTTTGTCTGCGTTACAAAATATATTTTCATCATTGTCATCTGCGATGAATCAGTTTTTATTACAGCATGTATTTATAATACGTGTTATCTAATTAGGAGTGAAGGATGTGTGGTCCGGAGTGGAGGCTGTGGTTGGATTAATGATTCAGGCAGGGTTCATGTTAGGAAGCAGACAGCCACGATCCCTCGACTGAACACAACACTCTTGTCCCTCCTCCAATCATTTTACTGTCGCATGCAAACGTACCGAAGTTTTTTTTATTTCTTTGTTTTTGTTTTTTTTTTTTTGTTTTTTGAAATGGGGGAAAAGAGAAACAACAGTCAGTCATCATCCTCGTCGACGTGGAGGTGGAGAGATTCAAAATCAAAACAGCGGCATTCTCGAAATTCGTGTTCGCAGGTGGGGCCAGACCGAGCCGTGAGAAGAAGCTCCGAGTCAGTGAATCACCAGCACCACCTAACTGTCCATTATGAGTTACAGCTAATTCGTGTTTATTTTTTTGTTTCACCTCTAAACTGTAGGCCCACGTCACCAACCTGTAAGCCGCTCTTCTCCATTCCTCTGAGCTGTATGTAACTATTCCAAAAACCCACATACAAATTTGAAAACACAGAGCGCTAAAGAAACCTCAAGTCGTCATCTTCCTTTCAGTTGGAAATTTCTCGTTTCGCGCTTTCAATCCTCCAAAGTCTGAACCTTCAGCTCTCGATTTTGATATGGCGACGTTTGCAGGCACTACCCAGAAGTGCAAAGCCTGTGAGAAAACAGTGTATTTGGTGGATCAGCTTGCTGCTGACAACAAGGTTTACCACAAGTCTTGCTTCAGATGCCACCATTGTAAAGGTACCCTTAAGGTGAGATGGATGCATTTCTTCTTGCAATAAACATGCGATCGAACACAGAGAATACATTTGTATTTACTTTTGTCTGTCTGATCGATGACACATTTGGGCTTTCATCAGCTCTCACGTTCTCTGAAATGAGAAAACGTACGCTTTTTGTGCTTTTTTCCGCCTCAATGATGTTCTGTTCAACGCAAGATGAATTTCTCCAGGAAACTTGATGATGATCTGCTCTACCAAAGTGTTCTGTTTGCAGTTTCATTTATCGTAATTAAAAAGTGGTTTTTTGCGGGAATTGATTGCCATTGACTGAGAGATTGTGTAGCTCTCAATTGTAAAATATCTGTGGATTCATTTATTGAATTCAATCTACGCTCCTTAGGCTTGACATTCTTGGTGATAAAGATTGAAATCAACCAACTAATATTATCCTCTCTTTTTTAAGAACGCTCACCAGTTCCTTTTGATGGTTATGCTTTTGAAAGTCCTTATGCATGATCCAATGAATTTGTCTGTTCAGCTGGTAGCAAGTAGGTGACGGCTTGATGAACTACTCAGCTAGGAATTACTTGTAGTTGCCCAAAACCTTTTGAACTATAATTATTAACAATTTAGGAACTCAATTTTGCATCTGAGAGCCATGCCAGAATTCTAACTTCTAAGTGATGTCTGTTCCAAAGTGACATCGGACCTTGGGATGCATGTTACTCCCTCTCCTCAATATTATAAGACCCTTTTGACCAAATTACACCACAATGAATTAGTTAATTGTCTTTAAAATTATAGACTCTTTTCATATTTATTCTTATTTAATAAGGTGTTTCAATTATAAAACTTTATTAATTGCAACTCATCCAATTAAGGATGTTTTTGGGCAAAAACTCATTGGTTACATATTGAAAAACTGAAATTGTCTTATATTATTTAATATCTTACCTCAAAAAAACGTTTTAAATTTTTAGCGGAGGGAGTATACAATAATTATTTATTAACACGATATACAACTGAAGCTGATTAATGTTAGAAGGCTTTTTAAGCCTTGACAGCGGCACATGTAAAGCAGCCAGTGACATGCTGTCTGATTTTTCTTTCATTGGGTGAATATTGGGAATTTGGTTGCGACTTACTCGTTGGTCTCATTATAATTTGAAATGCAGAAAGATTAGCATCTGATACACTCTTTGCTCGTGTATTGTTCTTTAGTTGTCATCCTTATATATCCTCATTTATTATTCTTCTTGTGCATCCCTGCAGCTGAGTAGTTATAATTCCTTTGAGGGAGTTTTATACTGTAAGCCTCATTTTGATCAACTCTTTAAGATGACGGGCAGCTTGGAAAAAAGTTTTGAAGGTGAATTGCTGTTATTGGAATGTCTCTAAACTTACCCACTTCTTCAAAATTCAAATTTATACTCAACAGTTCTACGTATTTTTCCTCATTCATTCCAATAACTTTAATATTTTTCACGTGTAGGCATCCCAAGAACTGCTAGAGTTGACAGATTAGGTGACCAGGTATCTTCACATCCTTAAAAAAGATATTAGCTGCTTGTGAAGGAATTTTTCTACTAGTTCTCTCAGTGATTTCCAGTGCACCTATGCTGAGTTTTCTCTGATTGAGAACTGTGCAGGTCCAAACGAACAGTAAAGTTTCAAGTTTATTTGGTGGAACTCGAGAAAAGTGTGTTGCTTGCAAGAAAACAGTTTACCCAATTGAAAAGGTATATAAATATACTTCAGTGAACTTTTTTTCATTGTGTCTGGTGGTCTTTGTTTTTTAAGTAACTTTCATTGGGTCACTTGATTGTTGCCTAGAATGAACCGAAGTGTTTGTGAATCTCCGAGTTCGAGCTCCCTGCTCTATGGCTTCAACAAATCATACCTTTCTACATGTGAAATCTCAATTTTTGTTTAGTATGTCAATAGTATATGCCAAATATTGTAGGCATATGCCCGCGGGCTTTACTATCAACAAAGTTTGACCAACAGCCCTAGTTTGCAGGGTTGACATTCCTTTCAAGATTCAGCAATTGTATCCAATTTTCCTTTAGTTTTGCTTGACTATACTAGAAATGGAAATTCATAAAGAAAAATATGAAAAAAGTCCAAATTTGACTCTGGAAATTAAGTGAAAAAAAGTTTGTGTGTGTCAAACTATTGTCTGTTAGGAATACTAAGTAATCTCTATTCCTATGTTCTTATAATGAAATGAAACCCCTAATACTTTTGTTTGTAGCTTCTGAAAATTAGAAAGATAAGATACTTGCCTTCTCTATTATTGTACGATGTGATTATCCAAGAGCAATAAGCGCAAATGAATGGATAGACTTGAGGCAAAGTTTTCTCAAAACTTTGTCTGGGTCTTTGATAGCTTTGTTGAAACCTTGTTTTCCTGCTGGTGGAAAAGAGGTTATCCATAATGAGTTGGTAGTGCAACAAAGAGAAGAGAAACATATATGGAGAGAGAGTTAAATGAAATTATTGGTCTTACCAGTTATTGCAACTAATATTCTACAACATTGTACAATATATATAATATATCATGTAGTGATGTTCATGTTCAATGATGATGCTGTTCTTCTGCAGGTGGCTGTTGATGGAAGTTCTTATCATAAGGCTTGTTTCAGGTGCACCCATGGAGGTTGTGTAATCAGTCCATCGAATTATGTGGCGCACGAACATCACCTTTATTGTAGGCACCACCATATTCAGCTCTTCAAGCAGAAGGGTAACTTCAGTCAGCTTGACAAGCACGAGAATGGCAATGGGGTGACTGAGAACACACCAAGTGAGTGATACTTCAAACCATCAACTTTCAGTGGCCATGCACAACACTTGATGACGGCATTCTCTGTTGGACTTGGACATCAAATGCAGAAGTTGTTTCAATACAATAGAGAGGTTATTGCATTTCTCCTTGTTTATTATGTATGCAATATTTTTTTGACGAAATATTGTAACAGAAGAACTCAGATTTTGTGGGAAATCTAGGTTGAGTATTGAGCAATATTTAATGGATAGTTTTGATCTACCATTCAAGTAAGCCTCCGCCATCCTGCTTTTAAGATTTCTGGAAGCAGTTACCTTTCTTCATAAATCCTCATTATCTCCTTTTTAATGATGATTGTACGTTTAATGTTTATTTATCTCTTGACGCTATTCTTGCTGGGGCTACAAAATGATCTGATTTAAATTCGTTCAGTATATTGACAAGGAGTGTTATGAGCTCTACGAGTGAAAAGAAGTGAGGCTGTTTTGAATCTTACGAAAACATGTTAATGCATGAGGAGTCCATATCCACCGTTAGATTTCGCGCCTAAACGCTTTGACTTGTGGTTGTTACCATTGTTATATGTTAGAAGTTTGATTACCATCTTCTTAACAAGAAGCTACATAAAGTTTCTTAATGAATCTCCTGGTTTTAAATGCTAGTTTCCTGTTTACTAGCTAGCAACCTAGTGAATATCACGATTTATCAGAATTTGAAATCGGCTGATTTGTGATGGTTAATTTGTTTCAGTGCCATTATACTTACAGTCTAAGAAACGTTAATAAGAAATATTATCTGGTCGACACGCAGACTAAAAAGAAAATTCTCTGTTGTCTTTATTTTTTTCTGCTTTATTATTATTATTTTTTGGGGGGCCACCTAAGTTGTCTTTATTTCACTTTAATTCCCACCAAAAGCATTTGCATAGAATAAGATAAATTAAAGAGACAAGCTAGAGATATGACGAAGAAGCTGAGGATGATTTTTGTTCAGGAAGTGTGATGTCAAAGAGGTAAAGTCAAACTCAAAAATGAAACAGAGCATGCCTCGGCCGAAACGCGGAATGCCTATGCATATCTAAGTTGCATGATTGGTCATTATAGTTTTGTAAAAGAAAGAAATGGAATAATGGAAAAGTAGAGAAGGGCGGAAAGAAAAAGTTGGCCTAATGTTATTTGATTTTCTCTCAAGAATGACAAGGCACTTGTGAAAATGCTCAAGAAAGAAGCCGAAGCTTGGTGGGCCTTACCTACGAAGCTCTGTTTTTTCAATAGTGTGAGAGTGTGCTTCAAGAGACTGTTAATTTTAATAACGCATGCTTTGAAGTGACACTAAAAGATAATTGGGATTTTAATTTGAACCCTAACATATATATGAGTTGGAACAGCATCTTCAAGGCAGGAAATTAATTTTTTAAAGGGTATGAAAAGGAACAAAGAGAGGTTCCGATAATGCAATGGGCCATGGAATTTGCTTGTTCTTGTTGTTAATGTAACAAAAAGAATTGTGGGAACCATGTGATGATGGATTTTTAAAGCACATCGATTAAACCTACTTTGTTCTTAACCTCGTATCCCATCTTTTTAATTTCTTCCCCTTTTTTTAAACATATTACTTAAACTTTCTTTGTTAAAGTTGTACAATTTCTTAGCATAAGAAAGTTATGCAATTTCTTTATTTTCAAAGCTTATGCATGCTTCATTTAAAACAATAAATAAATAAATAAATAAATAAATAAATCATGCCTATTTTTCTTGAGCTTTCTTAGAAATACATGGACATCTTTTCAATCTGCTGCGAAGAAATTTCTATATTTTAGGAAAAAAATATAAATGTGTGAATAAAGTATAGATGTGTAATAAAAATATTATATAAAATATACTTCATTTTCACTGTAAAATTATTGTGGATTTAAGGTTTAAATAGAGGGACTATATCATATTCAACCCAAAAAAAAGGGACTATATCATAGGGGTATTTGAAAAATGAAAGCAATGATTAGAATTTAAAATTTTCCAAACATCTCAGTGGCCACATTTTTTTTTTTTGCTTTGGAATGAAGAATGCAAACCACCTTCACTTCTTCAAAGAAATTTGTAGCTCTTGTTTTCTGTAACCTATAACCTAAAGCTAATTGAAAACCCCCTATGATATTTAGTTTCATAGAGACGCGTGCTACAACAATTTAACATTTCAAAAAAAAAAATGCAGGCACAAAATAATAATGGGAAGAAGATGAGGGAGAAAAACAAGGGAGATGAAGAATTTGATGATGTTGAAGCCTGATTTGATATGAAAGAGCAGAGCTTAATTACATCAACTGAAGTTGAAAATGTGAACCTTTGGTATGCACAATTATGCAGAAGGACTGAGTTTGTTGTAGAAATGAATTGGACTTTGTTATATCTCACTTGAGATTGTAACTACTAGCCCAAGATTTAGGATTTAAAAAAGTTCAAGAAGTGTATGATCAATCATGGAATTCTGATGTGTCAGACCCTGAAGACAAGGCAGAGAACTGCACGTGCGTTATACTGCAGACACACACAGATCAGCTTGATGCCTCTGAGATGCTCTGTAATGAGGGCTCCCATGTTCTTCCCCTCCCTCCATTACTTGTTCTTCTTCTCCTTCCTCCTTCTGTCTCCCTTGTCCTTTCCTAAAACATTCACAAAAGTCCCATGTTCAAAACAGTAGAACATGGCCAGACAAGGTAATCAAAGTCTGTTCAGTTAATAACCTGGTTGTTCTCCATAGCATTGATCCTGGGGATAGTGTTGATCTGAAAGCTTTGTCTTTCAGATTCTGACAGGATTTTCTTCATCTTGGCCTGTTTCTTGGCCCACAAACCCCTCATAACCTCTGAAGAAAAGAAACGCAGAAGAGTCAAAAAAGGAAGGGGAAGAATCAAACTGAGAAGAGTGAAAGGAGGAGGAAGAAGAAAGGAACCTTGAGAGGTGATGAGTCTGTAAACATGGCCTAGAAGGAGGGAATCGGAGGGCTTGAGAAGCTTGATGCGAGTGAGGCGAAGATGATGATGAGGATGACGATGGTGTTGGGAAGCACATGAAGTGGAGGAGATGAGGATGGCGACGTGGTGACCAGGGTTAGCCTTCATCACCTGAGAAGCAGACACAGAAGAATACATCCTCTCCACTTTGCCATTAGGGTGCTGTATCACCAGCGTTGCTGTATCAATGGCCTGGCAGTTTCCCATCCTCTCTCTCTCTCTCTCTCTCTCTCTCTGAGAAAGAGAAATGTTGGAGGACGCAGAGAGGTCTGTAATTGCAGCCTCACAGTGCCAAATAGGACTCTGGGGATACACAAACTGAGATCCTGTGCAACCTCGGTCAGTGTTTATGTACCCTCCATTGGAATCTCTCTCTCTCTCTCTCTCTCTCTCTCTCTCTCTCTTTAAATGTAAATTTGATGCTTTACATTTCATTTTTTAATGTCTTCTTTACTGAACCGTTATTGAAATTATGACAAAAAATTTAAATATTATATTATGCATTAACATCTTAGATTGGCTTCTTTTATCTCTTTCATTTTATTAAAAACATATTCCATTCAGTCTTATTTATAACTTACTTTAAATATATTTTATTAAATTTTAAAAAAAATTTTAAAACTCATTAACTCAAAAAATTTTAAAAAAATTAATTTTATTTTCATTAAATATATTTACTTTAATAACATGTTTCTTTTTATCAAAATTTAATTTAGATAAAAGAAAAAATTGTGATAAAAAACCAATAGCATGTCTTACACATAAAATAAAATAAAAATCTTCCTTTCTCTACCTCATCGAAATAAAGACAAGAGAGAGCATGACGGAAAAAGAATGTTGTAGGAATCCGAAGAGATTGATTAAAATGAGGGGTAAATCTAGAAGTTGGAAGGGAAGCACGGAGGATTCCTATCCTATGTGTGAGTGAAGTTGAATCCAACGGGGGCTGACGTGGGAGGCGATGATTAGAGGGCTTGGTGAACATTGGCAACGTGGTGGTGAAATGCGGAACCCAGACGTAACATTCTGTTTTACTTCTCTCTATCAATCCCCTTCATATTAAATTGAGCTATTATCTAGGGCTACTATGCATCCTGAATTATGAAGAACAGAGTGTGTTATAGGGAATTTACAATGTTAATAAGATATTTCCTTTTGTAGGAAGGAGTGTATTACTGGTCAAAAGGCCATGATCAATGATAATTATGGTCGAATTCTTGGTTGCATTACAGACCATTTTACCATCTTCTTTCATAATCATAATGCTACAGCCTATGATATGAGGAAATGGAATAGATACATTTCTTAGGCCAATTTGGCATAAATGTGAAGAGATCTCACTTTCGAGGATTTTAATGGGCGTGGCAATTTATCATTATTCATGGGGACCACGCTACACCCACACCCGCGAGCGCGGCGCATGAGGTGAGTGGCGTAGGATGATTGAATGAATACGACCATATGAGTTCAATTACCTGGGGCCACGCCCCATGACCGCGCGTGGGCCACCCAAGCTGTCGTCATCGATAGGGTGAAGGGATTACTTACTTTTATGCTCGGACGTTAATTCTTTGAGCGTTTCAACTTTCCATGAATGTCCATGCTGTAACATGAAAATTCATGCTTAATAAAAATAACTAAGAAATGATGTTGGTAAAAAAAAAAAAACCTAAAAAAATATGACTTCGTGAAGATATATTTCTTTTTCCCAAAAAAAAAATGAAGACATATTTCAATCATTTCTCTGCAGTCATGTAAGTTTTATTGAATTAAGGTATAAGGCGTAAAAAAAAAAAGTTTTATAATTTGGTATTTTTTCCTCTATATATTATGCCAATATGTCTAGTAATTATTTGATTGACTTGATGATTTTTATATGATATCACGTGAGAAGTAGAGAGGATTTTGAATACTCAACAAATCTTATAACTGCTTTTCTTTGTGAGGTCGGCCCCGTAAGCGGTAACTAAGGAATTCATTCCGGAACAAAGGCGTCATGATAAGTGCGTGTCGCGTGCGAGGCTTCCCATGCACACTGGTTCGCCTTTTGAGCGTTTACGTTACGAAAAGAGAAGCACCCCGCAATATTATCTGGGCCTCCCTTTCTCATTCATGGCCCACTTATTCAACGTTTCTTTTTCTGTCATTCTTCCACCCTTTCCAAAAAGGTTAAAAAGAACATGAGGACTGACTCTGACTACGGATTACATACATGTTTGACATGACATGCTATAATTTTTTTAGGCACAATCTCTTTTCTAATATGAAATACTTTCTCACAACTATGAAATGAGGAAAATAGGGCTCGAATCAAGAATCAAGATAAATTTTACTGCCAACAAAAAAAATTAAGATAATGTTCGTTTGAATTTTAATTGAATATAATAGATTATAAAAATAATTAATTAAATAATAAATTTTAATCATAATTGATTATGTTACAACGCAATGTGTTTGAATATTATTTTTTTTAAATTAATTTTAACAGAATTAAAGATATTTAAATAATTTCATCAAAATTAATTTTTAACTATATAAATCACTATATAATATTATTTTTAAATATCAAATAATAATTTTTTAAAGATATAAAGTTTAAATTTTATTTAAAAAAAGGAAAAAGAAGAGAGTTTAATTTTATTTTTATTAAATTATATGTTTTTTTTGTAATTTTTTTTTGGACTTGTCTTTGTAATTTTTTCAATATTTTGGACAAATTTTTGGCAGAAAGTAGACCGAGGGAGCTTTTCTATCCGGGAAAACGTGCGTCTTGCCTCATAATTAATTTTTGATCATTTTTGACTGTTTGGATGAATTGGCTATTGTTCAAACGGGCACATAATTGTTAGTCATGTGTTACGAAGCAAGAATAATTTTTATTTTACTGTTATCAGTATTTGTTTCACAATATTTATGGAACAGAATGTCTGAAATAATTTCACTTCATGAAATCCATTCACGTGAGATGTTCAATCCAATGCACAGCAAATGTGTATGAGTGAGAGACAGATTATTAACAGGGCATGAGGGTGAGGGATTAGGGAATCATGTAATGATAAGGTTGTTTAAACTTGGAACCAATTATTTACATATTACCTTAATCTATTGCTAAAAGCAAAGCAGGCAGGCCCTGTCAGATCTCCCTGTGTCCTCAAATCTCATGCACCTTGTCCCTCTTCTCTACTCTTTAATAATAAACCCTAGTTTAATTAGCAAGAAAGTTGTACCAACTCTTAATCAGAAGCCTTGAGTTATGAGTTTCATAAATGTAGTAATATTGACAGTAAAGCTTTAATCCAAAAGAATCCCAAACTAGCTTGATCTCAATTAGTCAATGTCTCGTTGAAGTCTTCTTAACTCGACTTAGAGCAGATTCAAGATATCTTTTTTTAACCAGCTTAAACTCAAGATATCGAGTGTTCTTATGCAAAAATAAATATGGATAAATTTGTATGTTATTCCGTTTTACTGACTACGATTCTACGAATTTATAGATTCCGTCATATTCAATTTTACTAAAGTATTTCTTGCCTCTTCATGCTACCAACAGTGCGTTGAGATATCAAAGAATAATGAGAGCGAATTTGAAGACGACAGCATCGACCACATTCAATACAAATTGCTTATTGACTAGTTCATGATGGACATGGACTCATTCTCAGGTACGAAACTTTCGAGTTTCGACCTTGGCTATTCGGTGCGATTAGGAATTTGTTCGCTGACAAGCCGATGAAGCAGCGCTGCTCAAACAAGTAATTCTGAGTCAACCAATGTTCACCGACAATCTAATAAACTAATTAAATCATCCGATTTATTTAATTTATCAATTAAACTGGTTAGCCTGCATCATGCTGCGGTTCAGGATGAGCCAACGCATAATGGATTGGACCAATGACTTCATTGAAAACTCCAATCCTAATATTCTCTTTGATGTTTTTGAATTTTGATGTTTCCAAGACGATAGACTCGACGATTACTATATCAGGCAAACAAAACCTTCGTAGCAACAAAAGAAGCATTTGGCATTTAAAAAAGAAAAACCTCATGAGTTCAAATGCTTGGATTCTCATATCAGCTGACACAGCGAGCTCCTAAGAGTTGTTGGGGCTGATGGGTTGGGCCCAGTTGCTCTTATACCTACATTCAGCATCAGTCTCAATAACTAGGTGGTATAAATTTAATTATTACCTACAAAGTAATTGGTTCAAATTTAAGGAACCTATTAATAGATAATTTGTAAGTATGTTTATAAATACTTGTGAACCTAAAGACATCTCTTAGATTTGATGTCCTCTGAAATTTAATTCTCCTAAACTTTACTTGATAAAAAAAAAATCAATGTAAATAACAAATAAAAATTGAATCTATTAAAATAGTTAGTCTCTCACAATATCTACATTTAATTTAATACCATATAATATGCAAAATCAAATAGTTGGAGGACACCAGTGAATAATTTTTGAAAAAAAAAAATCAATGTCAATAGCGCTCGCGCACGTCAATATCAACATCATTATAATATATACATGAATAAATAGAAATTCGGATTATTCAATATTCATAAATTATATACTGTGACAGCAGTACTTGATTTTCAAACATTGTAGAATAAGAGAAATTCTTGCACAGACTTGATACACCACATCATACATAATCTGTTTAATACAAACAAGTCATGTTAACACTAATTAAATTAAATAAAATATCATGTGTGATTATTTCTAATGCTTTTATTTTCGGATTACCATTTTTATCTTTTCTCTCTCTCATCATCAATGATAGAATTGTCTTATGCACGAGGTCAGGCGAATGGGGCTCATATCTATTTAAAACAAATTGAATGCGAGTACATAAATATACGTGAAATTCACGTCTCATCTTTTCACTTGTGAGATCTGTTTTTATTACATTTCTCCCCAAATACATCATATAGATTAATTTTTTTCCCTAAAAAAATCTGGTTAACGTAGAAACGGACAAAGTGTACGGATCCATTTCGATTTCCGTTATTATAAAGGCCCATAGTGCTCACGAATTCTGTGGGAACGCCCTCACGTTCCACGCATGAAAGGCTGTTCACCTTTGAAGGTTCTGTTAGGATCAGGTGGAGAACAAGTCGAAGACCTAAGTGCGTTTAAGAAAGTGCTATTTGCACATGTAGTGACTACTGTAACAGGAAATGAAGGTAATTGAAACATGGACCGACATTTACTATGAAACCACTCCAACGAAAAATATCTGCCACCTAACATCTAATAATAAATACATCTTTTATGGGATCCAATTCTTATCCATCAGGAAGGTATTAAAGTAAAGCATGCTTGATATGAATCAGGTGAATGATACAGAGAATT